GTGAATTTCGATCATTTTGCCGAAGTCTTTCCATCAAGCAGAGAGCCATATGACCAAGTCCACGAAGCGAGCCTGTTCCAGACCCAAAATAGAAGAATAGACCCAAAGAGACTATTCCATTTGCGACTTTCGCTAGCTGACTCCAAGCAATTTCAGCATTACCACAGGCAAGTATGGTGGGTAAGGGTGCATTCGCAACTAAAACTGCTTCTTGTATCACCCATACTCGGCTAAACCAGGATCGCCGAAAGAATGAGTTGAGACATGACCATTCGCTAGGCGTTATTGCAAGATTGCGGATCTTGGCCGCAACAGCTGGATTTTGAAGAGCAAGTGAGCCACCTTGAAGATCGGCGAAGCTCCTTCGCGATTCCACTTTGTACCAGTCCAGGAATACATCAAGTTTGCGAATAATCGAGAATGCAACCTCGTCTTCATTCTCCTCTTTCCCAAGCCAAATCAGACCACGCTGTGCATGGGTGTAGATTTCGCTCATGAGAGCTATTTGCTCTGTCTTTTCGTCATTGTCTTTTTGGTTGATACAAATTGCGTCAGCCCAGATAATCCGTGGCTTATGTACGTGCCGAAACCTCATAAGTGCAGCAAGCAGGTTTCTCGTTACAGGCACTTCTTTATCGCCGCACGTGATAGTTGCTCGATTCTCTCTTGCACCCCACGTGTACGAGAGAGCTTCGTATAGCGGTTTGTCAAGCAGGGAGACGGGCACAAGCTCGCACCTTATGGGTTCTGATATAAGCCCGGGCTTGACGTGCAAGAGTCGGATCATCTTCTTGCCATGAAGTTGTTGATACTCAATCATAGTGATAATGAATTTGAAGTTTGTTAAGTAATCATAAGCCGGTCTATTCCAGAGCCCAGCTGTCACGTTTTACGCAAGATTAGTTGGGGTTAAGTTGTGTGCATTTTGTTGAGGTAGCCTGCAGGCCGCCAGTTCTCTACGTCTTACGCAGTCCGTCCTCTTGGGAACCGTGCGCGGCCACCTGATTAGACATGTGACCGTGTTTTCCATGCTCCGGTGTAGAAATTGGGCACAAGCTGACTAGCATTATGTGAATATCAATATAATGGTAACCTTTATATACTAGAGGACCATGAACCTTAGATATGTAGTGCTGAAAACACTAACTCTTGATTATGTTAGCTTTTCCACCAATCCTAGGCTCGAGCCAGGGTAAAGTTCTAACAGACTTAAAAGAGCATCTTCTCGACATTGTATAGAAAACCAAGACACAGCATGTGGCGCCAGCAAAAAGACCCGTTGTATTGGCTTTAACATCAAGCCACCTGAACCGACTCTCTGTCAAAGCCGTCACCAAGAGTTGACCGTTGGCATCACCAACTTGACCAAACCATAATTATTTGTGAGCCACCCGGTGCCTTCCTGTGCCCACCCTGTCTAGTGCCTGCTTAGCGCCTGTTAAGGCGGCAGGCCGTCTGTGGCTCCAAGAGGGCAAGATTTGGGGAGCATTACAGCAGGGGTATCACTACTTCCTCAACAAAGGTTTACTATTATAGAAGTTAATAGACCTATAGTAATAAGCATAATATTTGAGAGCTTGATAAATACTACGACTCGCAACATTGAGTATCTCCGCCCTTCAAAATTAATGTTCATTACCTCGGCGGAGGATTACTTGGATTCTTAGCCCCAAGATCACACCGTCCAGGCCGTACTTATGACGATCCGCCCCTGTCCATGAAAAGACGTAAAAGGTATTGAAACTGATCTACAATTCCGAGCTACTTTATTAACTCTCAGATAATCCAAATTTTCAGTTACTCGAACAAAATTCTAAGTAGTCACGCTTCAATTTTGATTTACTCATTGACAAGAGGCTGGTTTGATCAATACAGTAGATTACACCTCATGGTCTGCCTGCAAAACACTTTCTTTGGGAGAAGACGGTAGGCGGGCACCAGCGGGAGGGGAGTTTCGAGACTTCAACTCATCGCATATATCCTCCATTTTCACAAACTCGACGCCTTCTTTTGATGACAAGTACTGTATGACCCTAGCACACAATATCTGGCTAGTACCCGGCACTTAAATGCATAGTTTGCTTGCCACATACCTCTCAAGCATTTTCAGAGCATGGAGATGACCGGAAACATCTGGATGGATTGTCACAGGAAAACAAAAGTTGTCATAATGCTCATAAATAATCAAAATGGTCTTTCCACAAATCCTCAACCACAGACGGGTGTACCCACCCATGGGAATTTGGCATAGATTTAATGAACATTTGTGTCATATAATTTGTCGGCCAAATCCATTATTAGTAATTCCTCGTGTTGAGAAATGTGTATGGAGAATAAGCTTCATCAATATACATGCACGTCTTGCTGAATGCAGAGAAAGTAAGGAGGCGAAGCACTAACCATAGGGGGAAGATCATCAAGATACCAACTCGCAGGTATTTCAACCAATCCGGTTACTTCACCTCTTGTAAGCGGCTTCATCCATGTATCTGGATGCTTTGAGTAATCAATATTAGTCCATGTATCGTCGACGCGAAGCCAATGTGGGATTGCAACATGATGGGAAAAGGAATGACTATATTCCAGACCTGATGTCCCAATCGTGCTCATCAGTCATGACATTCGTATTATACGGGGTAGGGTTTAAATATTGACCACTGACCATATTCCATCATGAGATCGGCTCCTTCTTTTGGAGCTTCCCACCATGGGACGACAGAACCTCTGCGGGGCTATGACCAAGGTTGGATTAACCGTCAGTTCTATACGGAATCTTGTCGAATGTCCAACGAATCAGAAGTGTCCGCTCCAGTCAGCGAGATAGAGTGTCTTCCAACTCTATCAAACCAACTTCTGAGTTGGAGTGAACCACGAGAATGTATTTATTCTCGACCGACCATCGAGTTGAGTCTCTTGGCTTTCTTGCACATGGCCAGAGATATCTTTATCTCATTAAAGTCGCTGTTAAAAGACTCTCCTTGAAATTCTTCTTTCAACTCGTGAACGATCTGGATAAAATCACTCCACAATCAACCTTATTTCAATCATGCTCGGAAATCGACTCACTAGCCTAAAGAGTACGACATAGCAAGATGTCGTACACAAGCTTGAGGCTCCCCAGAACCCATACAGTGCCACGGCCGCGTCCGAATTAAGTCGAGACGAGCATGTATGGTCCAATGCTGATTTTGTTCCCACAAAACCCGCCTTTCGGACCTGGACTTGGGTTCATTTTACCTCGTTTTGGGTTGCCTCTTCGCTGGCAACGGGAACTTGGACAACTGGAAATGCTATGATAAGCTTGGGAATGCCCTGGTACGCAGCTTGGTTAGCTGTTGTAGTTTCGCATATCATCGGAGTAGTCTTATTAGTCGCTAACGGACGAGGGCCTGCGGCTTACCACATTGGCTTTCCAGTTCAGGCTCGAGCCAGTTTTGGCATGCGGGAGAGTTATTTCGCCATTGTGTCGCGTTGTGTTGTGGTAAGTTGCTGCTGAACTACAAGCAATTGGATCGGATCAACATAGCTGTTTATCATTCCCTCTAGGCTGCTATTTGGTTTGCAGTAATGCCTACTATGGAGCAAACTTCGTGTCGATCTGTCTCCGTTGCATTTGGCCTTCCCGGCATAATGTTCGCAACACAATACCAGAGTCTCAGGGGACCACGACGCAGATGCTGGTCGCGCTCTTCATCTTTTGAGTCTTCTCCATGCCATTTATCTTATCCATCCACGCAAATTGAATTGGTACTTCGTTGCCAAGTCATGCATAGTTGCACCAGCCTGCCTCGGAGTTCTGAATTGGGCAGTTGTCCTGAACGGAGGCTCTATTGGTCCCAGTTTCCGCCAAAGATCAGCAACCCTTCGTACTATGGCTGGCTTTGGATGAGCGCGCTCAATTCTGGGTTTGGTGGTTGCTCTGCTCTCATTGTGGCTCAAGCTGACATTGCTCGCTGGGCACGGAAGCCCAGTGATCAAACCTGGTCTCAGCTCATCACATACCCATTCTTCAGCGCTATTGCTGCACTCTTCGGCATTTTGGTGGCCAGTGCGACCTCCAACTTCTGGGGAAAGGCCTATTGGAATCTATGGGAGGTCTTGAGCACGGCATTGGACTGCTATGAGATGAGCTCTGCCTCAAGAGCCCTCGTGTTCCGCCTCCTCTGCTTTCGCCGTTGCCATTGTTGGCACCAATGTTGCGGCCAACTCCCTGCCCTTCGGTTCAGACATCTCTGGCCACCTCCCTCGCTGGGTCAACATTCGCAGAGGTCAGGTGCTGTATGCACTGCTCACTTTCCCCATCGTCCCGTGGAAAATCATCAAGAGCGCAAAGAGCCTCCTGACTCTCTTGTCGGGCTATTCTATTCTCATGGGGCCATTTGCGGCAATCTGCATCGTTGATTACTTCTTTGTCGCCAGAGGTAATTATTTCGTCCACGACCTTTATATCGGTAATAATTCTTCTCGATACTGGTTCTACCGAGGATGGAATCTGCGTGCCATTGTTTCTTGGATCATTGGCGTTATCCTGCCATTCCTGGGCTTCATCGCCTCTTTCGGCGCCGTGAGAATTAGCTCAGGAGGGACACACTTGTGGAATCTGGGATACATCCCAGGAGTAGTGATCAGTGGTGTGGCTTATTATATTCTGAGCCTTGTATTCCCTCCAGCAACGAGAAGCATAGGCATTGGCTTTGAAGAGCTGACGGTGGAGGCGGATGCGATGTTGGAAGCCGAGGAGGTCGCAGCTGAGCAGGATGTCACGGCTGCTGTCCAAAAGGATAAGATCGTTTCGGAGGATACCAGAATCGCCTGAGCATATAGTAGTGTAGCCCCTTGATCCAGTCAATCTGATGTTGTGAGCAATGGTTTTGAGAAAGGATGATGCCTAGCCAGGGACAGTATGGTAGTATTATGATTTCGATCGTACATTGTGGCCATTCTGGCAATTTCGTGCAGATGTCATGTAGCAATATTTATCGCTATAATAGGGGACAAATCTAATTCCCAAAGCCCTCAAATGAGTCGTCTTCGGCCGCCCCTGCTTTCTGCTGCTCATTATGTTGCCTGATCTCTTCAATCATCTTGTCAAGCTTCTTCTGTTCCTCCTTCTCAACATCCGTCATGCTTGCAAGTCTAGCTGCCTCCCTCTTCCGCTGCTTCTTCTCTCTTCTCGCGACTCTCGTCTCTGCCCTCTCGTGCTTTTCGCTCCAGGCCTCGTTCTTCCTCCTCTTCTGGGCACGCTGTGCTGCAGCAGCATCTATGTCATCCTTATTGGCCTCCCTCTCAGCTATCTCGGCCTGCCGTTTCTTCTCCTTAGACTTGTCCTTGAACGTGATGGCCTCAACATCGATGCCGAGGCCAAGAGCCCGGTCTATATCCAGGCCTTTGAGCTCTGGCATCTTTGGCAGTTGAAGGAGCCCAAAGCCAGCTGCGAGGTCCACCCAATCGAGGTCGGTGACTCTAAATATCGAGGTCGCTCGATGGGCGAGAAAACTTCTGACCCAGGAGACAAAAGCGCGCTGTGCCATCTGAAACACCTCTCTGTCCGCTTGCGCCTGCTTCCTGATCTTCTTCGAGGCGGACTCTGCTTCCTCTTGAGATACATCTAATACTGGCGTCTTGAGAGGCTTCAATGGGGTCTTGCGAATCTCCATGAATGGCAGAAAATCTTCTTCCCGTCCTGGCATGAGAAAGACGACAGCAAGCCCTCTCCTCCCTGCTCGACCTGCGCGTCCAGCCCTGTGCATATAAGTCTTTGGATCCGATGGTGGATCGACTTGAACAACGAGGTCCACGGACGGTATATCAAGACCCCTTGCTGCTACATCTGTGGTAAGGAGCACAGTGGGTGTTGAAGAAGACATAAATGCAGCAAAGTTTCGCTCTCGGACTTGCGGCTCGAGTTTCCCGTGCAATGGTATTAAGTTGAAACCATTAGGAAGTAGAGCTGGTAGAACTCTGTGAAAGTACTTTACCGCGAAACATGTGCTGCAGTCGATTAGTCTTTGTAGGTATAGAACTTGAGAGTACCTCACGACATACCTCAAAAACACGATGCTTTTTGACGGTCTTGGTTCCAGGTTTGTCAATAGCTGCATCAGAGTCGGGAACTTCTTGCTCGCAGGCGTGATCACATATGTCATTTGTAAACTCGCAGGAGTTTTCCTCTAAACCGTAGTTAGTAACCCGCACGGTTAGCTCATTCGAGGACGGACACCACTTACCTCTTCTACGACGCCGCCATCTTTCAGACTCTTGACCGTAACTGCTACACGTTGCGGGTTCCGTAATCCCACTCTGATCAACTCATTCACTGCTTCGGACATGCTTGCCGAAAATAGGCCTGTCCTTCTTTGTTTGGGAAGATAGCCCAGTATCCTCTGTAAATCGCCCTTGAAACCCAAATCGAGGAGTCGGTCGGCTTCGTCGAGGACCAAGACTTCTAGGGAAGAGGTATGAACGTGTGGAGATGCTAGCAGCTCGGCCAATCGGCCAGGTGTTGCAACAATAAGGTTCGGGGAGTGCCTCACGAAGAAGGCGAGATCTGCTTGCGGCTTCGTTGAGCCACCGACGACAAGCTGCGGGACGATAACAGGCTCGGTCGTGGTAGGTCGCTTTTCTTCGGTCTTCAGACAGAGAAGAATCTCGGCCGAGGCAGGATGGAATGCGAGGATCGAGAGCAGTACATTGTGGATCTGAATTGCCAACTCCCTCGTAGGACTGACGATGATGCCGGTGACATAGTGTTTCTTCAGCGATTCCTCTGATCGAAGGATTCTCTCCAATATTGGCAGAAGGAATGCCAACGTCTTTCCGCTACCGGTAACGGCTTCGACCACCACATCACTGTTCTTGCGAAACAAGGGCAATACTGCGGCTTGTACCGGTGTCATTCGCGAGAAGCCCATAGACTGAACGGCGTCGAGGATGAAGTCGGAGAGTGGAGGGGTGAGGGCGTCCCAGGCCCGAAGGTCCTTCTTCTTGGGCGCATTCTCCGGAGGCATAGCCGCTTGCAAGTTGTGCCTTGAGGCACGGTCAGCTCTTGTGGAAACGCCCTAGAAGTGTATTTCGATGTAGCCCCGCGACAAAATGATTCAAGTGCAAAGTAGTTTCATTTGGAACTTTTTCTTATCGTTATCGTCTAACGTTATCGATGGCCTCAGATCTTTCTTATCGATCAGCCACGTGACGACCCACATTTCTCTATGTCAGTCAGGTGTCGTAGCCCATTTGATTCTTGGTCAGATCACGAGTAAAAGCGCTCGATTTCCGAGTATGTAGAAGAATGAGGCGCTCACTTTGAGATGCTTGACTTCTTGGGCAGTCTTCGATCGCGAGTTGCAGAACCTATGACGAGCTGGCGCAACCCAAATCACATGCAGCAGGATGTTGCGTTGAAGACCGACCGCCTATCGCTGCACTGATCTACTTGACAAGCATCATCGGCTGGCCGGAGTCGCAGTGGGGCCGATAGATAATCTAACGGTACAGCAGCCATTTGACTTTTTTTTATTTTTAAATTGCGGTAGTCCAGTGAGCTGGACTGGGCTGATCCTCAGGTGCCCAGGTGGTGTGGTACTCGCACCCGACACCGCCAGCAGCCAGTAGCAGGTAGGTAGCACATGTCTTATGTCACGCTGGCGGCCTGCCCGGTTTTTGACGATTTTTCCAGCGCTCTGCACACTTACACTCACACTCGCGCTCACGCACTTGCTCGGGGCCGGCCACACCAACCACACCGCAGCCGACTTTGCATTGCATTGTGTGTGTTGTATGCACTGCCGTCATCTGCCTGCTTAATCGCTGCGCTGCATTTTGCTCCTCCTCTTGAATATTTCTTCAACCATGCAGCGGAGTCACACTCTGCTGCATCTCCTCTCCTCACGCTGGATCCAAACTCTCGAGTAGCGGCCCCTCAAGTAGACAAGCAACACCAAGTCTCTGCCGCTACTACTCATCACGGTGCCGCCGCCGCCGCCGCCGCCACACCGACCAAGACGACGACGACAACACGTGAGTCTCGAAAAGACAAACATCTCCACTCTACGCTTTGGCCTCTACGATTTCACGACCTGCAACGACTTCTCACGGGCGTCGTCTCGTGCCCGGCCCTCCCCCCGTTTCCTTTCAACATGTCTTTTCGCGGAAAGCCGGTCGTCCCGGCCACTCCGCGGGTCATATCACCGAGTCCCACGCCATCCGAAAGAGACGCCGCGTCTTCGGACGAGAACTACTTCGGGCCCGTCACGCGATCGGCCGCTAGGAAGCGGCTGTCGACGCCGCAGCCCGTCGAGGAGGATATCGACGAGGACGAGTACGATGCTAGCCCAGATCTCCGAAGGGCTCGGACGCGGAGTCGGAGCCCCATCACGACGCGCAAAGTCAACGGGCTGACGCCCGCGAAGGCCGCGAGGAGTACGGCCGACCAGAAAAAGAACCTGGCGCCCGTCACAAACGGCAAGGTCGAGTCAAACGGGCTCCTGTCGCCGGCTTCCGCCGCGTCGCCGGGTTGGAGCTGGCGGGACTTCAGTCGCAGCCCGAGCCCACTGGGCCTGATTCCGATCCACAGGCACTGGAGGACCTTTGTGCACAAGCACGAGGTCCCGCGCAAGGTCCTGCACGTGTCGATCGGCTTCTTTGTCATCTGGCTCTACATCTCGGGGACACAGACCTCGTCAGTAGCCCCGTGGCTGATGGGCGCGCTGATTCCCATCGCCGCGGTCGATTACGCGCGCCACCACTACGCACCGTTCAACCGCTTCTATGTCAAGGTTCTCGGCGCCTTCATGCGCGAGAGCGAGTTTTCTGGATACAACGGCGTCATCTTCTACCTGCTTGGCGCCTGGATCGTCCTCTACTTCTTCCCCAAGGATGTGGGCGTGATGGGCGTCCTGCTTCTGAGCTGGTGCGACACCGCCGCCAGCACGTTCGGAAGATTGTATGGGAGGTACACCCCGCGCATCAGACGGGGCAAGTCTCTGGCCGGATCCCTGGCCGGCTTCCTGGTCGGCGTCGGGACGGCAGTCTGGTTCTGGGGCTGGCTCGCGCCGACGATCCAGGCGCCCGGGGACGACACCTTTATGTTCAAGGGCGCGCTGAAGCTGCCGCACACTCTCGCCAGCGCAGTGGGGCTGACTGACGCGCAGGCCACCATCTCCGGCGGCCTGGCGCTCGGCGTCATGAGCATCTGGTCCGGCTTCGCCGCCGCGGCCAGCGAGGTGGCTGACGTGTTCGGGTGGGACGACAACTTGACCATACCTGTTCTCAGCGGCCTCGGCATCTGGGGATTTCTCAAGGTGTTCGGCTAGGAGAGAGGATTCCGGATTAGACAAGATGGCACGGAGAAACATCCTGGGCCGCAAGGGCCAGTCAAGGCAGGCAGGCAAGCAAGTTTGTATGGACGGATGGATCATCTCATTTCTTGGTGTACTATGCGCTGCGCGTCTGAATACCTGGGTGCATGGCTGGCGTTTACTTTTCTTGGTGTAAGTTGGCACGAAACAGGGGGGCATGGGACACTAGGGATATGATAGACGCAAGGAAGGCTGGCCGGTGGCAGCAGCAGAGAAGCAGCAGAAGCTGGATGGTTGGATGGTTGGATGAGCAAGAGACGGACGCCTGGGGCATATAATCTATACACATACTAGATAAAACTTGATAGCTATTATGGTGCATGTTTTAGCACTTAAACACCCCTCACTTTGCTTTTTTATATCATCCTCTTGGATCTCGTAATGTAATGTACCGGAGTGTATTGGAATGAGGGCAGGCAGGCAGGGACAGGGTTTCGATCGCTGTCGTCTTGCAAGTCTCGGCCGAGGGATTGTGAAGAGTCTTGGAACTTCCTCCGGACCTCGGTCGGTGTCTTGATGGTGAGAGAAAGGGATTCGCTGCTCAGCTCGTCCAGGCCGTCCGATGCAGGCTCGTAGGCAGTAGCCCAGGAGGGGAGGGGCAGTGAGGGGCGAAGAACAAGTACGATGATACGGCTAGGGACTGTATAGTGGCAGTACACCTTGTAGGACCAGGGCAGGGGGGTGGGAACACGGGCCCTGTTTGAAGGCGTTGGGAAAAGGATGTCACACAAGGGCTTGGGTCCAGATGTCGTGCATTGGAGACCTTTTCTCGGGTCAAAGATTGTCAATCTTTTTGGGTAGTCATCAAGACATGGTCAGCCCGTAAACAGGAAAAGGCGTAAAGGCGGGCAAGCGAGGGGAAGTAGACTTCAGGTCCAGTGACACCGAGAGGACGATTTACACGCCTTACATAGTAAACTCCATCCATGTTTCTTGGACCTTTCGCGTCAACCCTTGCCAATGTTATATTTTCACCCTCGTTCTCATCTTGACATCACACAACATCGCGTTTGTCCTACGCGCCGATATCATCACCAACCTCGTCATCAGCAGCAGCAGCATCACCATTGGAGGGGCAAAGACCTTGAAGAGCGAACTGCCCATCATCCATCAGCAGTAGCAGCAGCAGCAGCGTCATGCATAGTCGACGTAGCGGCAAGAGCTAAGAAACATTCGGATCAGCAAGCAAGCAGCGCACCTGCAACCAGCGAGCAGCGAGCAGCGGGTGCATTATTGGTGGGCAGGACCACTGACGAAACAGGGCCGTCCGTCCAGATTGGCATTCTTTTGCTGCTGCTCCAGTCTCCCGTTGTCTCTCTACTTCTGCTGCTGCCCACTCCACACCTAGGGCGTGCGTCGCGACCTGTATGCTCCTCATGTACCTCATGTACGAGTCCTGCGATGGACCTCTCAGGAGGCATGCTTGCTTGTTCGGCTATGGAGTCGTCGCCCTATAGAATTGTGCCCCATCATCCATCGGCGGCGCAAGTCTTGTTTGACTGCATGCAAAACGGCCAGTCGAGCCCTGTAGGTTACATTCTATTCTGCCTGTGTCCTCCAGAACCAGAAATCAGCAGGCTAGCCGTCGTCTTCCTTTTCGTCTGTCTTTGTCTTTGTATCTATCTGTCTCTGTCTGTTTCCAATGCCTGTCTCTGGAGGCCTATCTCTGCCAGCTGGCCCACCTCTTATTCTCTTTTTGAGCAGATACAGGGTCTGCCCTACGGCACGGCCTGTTTTTCATCATTTACCCCGTGGGCCGTCAAGGACTTCGAATTCACTCTCTCGCAGCGCGGGCAGAGTAATGCAGCTGTGCTGTGCATGCAGGGTGGGTTTTCGATGCGTTGTCTCATCTACCTGTACGCAGCAGCAACAACAGCAGCAGTACTCGTCCTCCCGAGCCTCCGTTTCACGCATTGAGACGGGACGGGGTGAGTGAGCATGAGCGGCGGTCATCAGCTACTGCAGAGTGGCATAGATGGTTAGATACTCCTCAGTCAGGAGGAGCCTGCCTGCCTGCCAGTCTGCCTTCCGCCCCCATTAGCAGTCGGTCTTTGTCTTTCTCACCATCCTCCTCTCGCGTTGGTCCTCAGCCCCCCATCGCCGCCCGCCGACTCGGTTGGTTCTGCGCTGATGTAATGGCATTTGGCATTTGCTCGTCCGTCCCTTGTCGACCTCCTCTCATCGACACAAAAGAAGATGGTGTGGGATTTGCAGATGCCTCTCGACAGGCAGGCAGGACCCTGCCAGCCGTTGCTAAAGCATGCCATCTGAAGCTAGGCTACCTTAGTCTCGATAGCGACTGGATCCAGTTTTCCGGCTCTCCTGGTGAATGGTCCACGACGGTCCATTCACAAGAGTCTTTCTATCGATGCTGCATGCTTTGCAAGTCACAAGTATGCCCCTCCCCCGCTCTTTGCTCCCTCTCTTGTGGCCTGTCCGAGGTTTCGCGATTCGCAGCATTGGGGAAGAGGGATTACGCTACGGCGTAGGTATGTCATGTCGATGCTGCTGCCCTTGGGAGAGGGACGCAGCCGAACCATTGTTTCAAGCCGGGATCATCCCCATAAGCAAAACGCCTCGTGGTTCCCAGATGTCACGAAAAAGCCACATGGGCGGCGGCGTGGGGAGGAGAGACATGCGTGCTTGCGTGCTGGCTTGCTGCCATAGCAGAATGTACAGCTTTATTCGGCACGTCCTGCGTACGCCGGAGACCGGCTGCAAGGTCGAGACAGGCTCTCCCGCAGGCTCCCACGGAGGCAACAAAGTCGACTAGACACGCTCCAGGCCGACCAATGACAGCGGGTGGCCAACTACTCTGACTATATCGACTATCTTAAAGAAGTGCCCGCCCCAAGGCAGCGGGCTACTAGACTCTAGATACACCGGGTATCGCCGTACCATTGAGACGGGGTGTTCGTGTACTCCTCTGATCTTCTGTACACTACAGTAACCGCGCATTGTGATCGATGCCGGGCTCCCTCCCGGCCGCTGCTGTCCGAGTCAGGTAAGGAGTACTTGAGGCTTAGGAGGCCGCTTCGTCGAGCTCTCCTCCAGTATGCTCGCCCATCCCGTGGACGGGAGAGCACCTACCTACACGGGCACATATATAATGAACCCTACATCTAGACGTACATGATTTGATACACGCTACACATCCTGGCCGACCGGCCTGCCATATATCTGCCACATCCGGGCTGACGTTGCCTTCCGCATTGGACAGGTCAGGCTGGAGGCAGCCGAGTCGAACTGCTTGATTCGCAATTGTCCACAGCATGTAAGTCAGTAAATCAGCGAGTTGTCAATTAACCTCGCATGTACCCTCGGCGTCTCCAAGGCGGAATGGAGAAAACGACACGGCATGACTTTGCATGCCCACCTTACTGTAAAATGTAGGGTAATAAGTAAGGGTAGGCAGGTTACGTGCGTGCCTACAGCAGCGGCGTCTTAGGTTCTTACTTAAGTGCATCTACCTTGCTCCGCCAGCAGGGACTTATACACAACCGGCCTGGATCGTCTACCCACGCTGCAGCAGCGCAAAGTACTGCTACATGCGGAGGCAAGGTCAGGCCAATGTGTGGTACCATACAGCTGATTATCCGCACTTGAGGTACTGTCCAGCATTCCCAGCAGCAAAGTGAGCAGTTTTGGAGAAGTCAGCTAGGGAAAAGGTATGCGTGAATGGCTCCTCTCGTCGCTATCCGCCTGGTGGCCGCATCCTCTTGCAGCACGCACCCCGACCGACGCAACATCGACATGGCCCGGTCAAAGTCCCATGATGCCCACGCACAGGGATCGATCCCGAAAATCGCCAAAAAATAATTCCAGGACGGTCCCCTCCAAGGAAAAAAAATCCCACCTCACTTTATTCGAATTTCCGGCCAATGACAGCCGGGCATTACGCCAATTAAGCCGAGCATGGCCGCTGCGTTTGCCATTTCCAGGCCATTCTGGACCAGCAGTTCGCACAGGCGACATTTCTACTCGCCCATAAATGCTGGGGCTTTTTTCTTTATTTTATTGCTGTTGTCGGCAAGTAACACAAATCCGGAGGGTGCAGGTGTGTGTGCCAGCGGGCGGAATTGAAGGGCATTTTATTATTTTATTCTCAATTTTTATCATGATTATTATTATTATTATTTTATTTTCCTGTAGTCGACCAAAGAAAAGCAAAAGGCTCCCGCTGGCCAGGTACATAACCAGTCAGTTCAGTCAGGTAACTGCTTGCTGGCTTGTCTCTTTGGGACTGACAACACATCATCCATCACACAAAGCGCCGCCCGACTTGCTGCACTTCTGCCTGACCTGACCTCTACAACATCATCTCAACTCCCGTGTCCATCTCCTCCGAGCCAACGAGATCGCCGCCTTTGCGGAAAATCCAACGCTGCTTTTGCCCTTTCGTTAGCGTCAGCGCGCTTGTTCCATCGACGTCTCCCCAGATAGACCCGTCAGTCAGAAATTGGGGGGTTCCTGTACCTCTTTTGACTTCTGACCACAACCAAGCCGAGCCGGGCTGGTGCAGTGCTTTTCTCTCTCTTTCTTCTATTCTCTCTCCATCTCTCTCTCTATTCGCGCCTGCTCCGATTCTTACCTTAGCCTCCATTTCCATTGCCGGCAAAGGCCCCTTTGCACTCTATCAAACTGGAGCAACTCCCGACGAACCACAGCACGCCTGACTGACTTCGATATCCTGGAGAGCCCCAGTTAGCCGTCTCTTTGCCTCCTTTATCAGCCAGCCTGTCACACGCTCCGAAATCTCGTCTGCCCTTGTCCCATTCCATCATACATGGCTCTGTGCACCTCACGATCGGTTGCTCCAGTCATGACCCCTTGTTTCCTGTATCCTCGCGTCTTTTGCTTCGACCCCCCGTCCCCCCCCTTCCTCGCTCCCCTTTCTGCGCCCACACCCCCTCAAACACTTTCTCTTTCCACACACTCTCTCGGTCTGTCTACGAGCCTCCGGCTAGGACTCCGGCTTTGGGTTTTTTGCCCCCGTCTCTTGCTTTCTCATGCTTCTTACCCGTCCGCCCACGCAAGCCCTTGATGGACCAGACCGATCCTTTCCCCCATCCGGCCCCCTCCACCAGGCTATCTCCACCAATACAACCCATGATATTCGCCTCTCGGCATATGCAGATGTTGTTCTCTTTCCCTTTCTCTGATCAATCGAAACTCGCCTGCAGGCCAATCCGGAGCCCCCGTCCCTGTCCAATGGCCCTCAGGGATCACCCTATCAGCTATGCCCTCCGACCGGGCTTGTTGGTTTGTCTCCGCGGCGGGAGAGCGGGTAAACGACTCAAACACTAGGGGAGCTAGCCATCACCGTCTCCATCATCATCATATCTCCTCGCCGTTTGCAAGCGGGGTCACCGTCTTGCTCGACGAATAGAGTCATCACGTCTTATCCTCTGAGCTCACGAGATGTCGGCATCTCCTCGACCGGGGATGCTCGAAAAAAGTATAAAAGGGGCCGTTGTGTTCGAGTTGAACTCGTTTTCTTCTTCTTCCTTTCTCTTAACTTTCTCAAGTCCTTCAGCAAGCCTTCTCAAGCTTCCAAGACCCTTACCCGCTCTTCAACAAGTATCTTGTTGCCCACCCAGACCAAGTGTCCCTATTCACATACCCCCAAGCCATACCCACACTCACACTCCACTGTCCACATTCCAAGGACACAGTTCTCAACAAGTCACTAGACAAGAACACTCTCCACAAGCACCTCATTGTCCACTTGTTCATTTTCACACACTAAGACACCACCACCATGTCGTCTCCCTACTCTGCTCAGTACTACTCCGGGGCTGTGCCCATGCCGGTTCCCACCAAGGGCACATACCCAAACTACTACTCCACCGACAGCACCTACTCGGTCTCGCCTCCCGAGGGCGAGCCGTCCGTGAGCTCCGGCTCCGGTGGCGTCTCCTACAGCACGCCCGGCTACTCTGCCACCGCGAGCTACGCGGGCAGCAGCCACGGCGACTATGACAGCGCCGGCTCCGCGAGCGGCATTGACTTTAACGAGTACATGCATGATCGCTTCGCCGAGACGTTTGACCCGCTTCCGCTCGACAAGACCATGGTCCAGCAAGCGCAGATGTGAGTATCACACCCCGTTGTCTTTTTCTTTACTACGAGCAATTTCCCAAAAACGCAATCGCGAGTTCTGCACTTTCCCAGTGCGGAGCTCGCGAGAGCTACGTTTACGCGCGGCGGCCAAAAGCCACCAAAGCGAGCGAGCGAGCGAGCGCATCCGGGCTGACGCATTTTCTACAGTTCTGGAAATCTCAATGCCAAGCACCGCGAGCTCCTCGACCTGCAGAAGCAGGCGCAGGCTCGCCTTGCAAAGTCGCGCGCGCGATTCGCAGAGGGCATGCAAGATGCGCGCGAGGTCCGCGCGGATCTCGAGTGGACGCAGAAGAAAGTCTCGTAAGTTCTCACCACCAGCACCGTTTGCAAGATCTCGACGATCTTTTTTTTTCTTCTTCCAATTCCATGCCGCAAAGCTGGAAATTGGAGAATCGGCGAGCCCTTTTTGCAGATGAAGCGCAAAAATCGGTTTAATTGAAGCGGATAGCTAACACTTTCTATTCTAGCTCCATGAAGAGCAAGGCGTCGAAAAAGCACTCCAAGGAGTACAGCAAGGCGCGCGCGAGATATCCCTCGCCCGAGTACTAGATCGGCGGTCGTTGTGGACTGTTGAGCCGCATCGCAAAAGTCACTCACCTTACCCATACAACTTTTTTCTGCCGTGTTGTTTATTTTCCCATCTTTTTTATCAGCTACAAAGGCGTTCTGTGTGCGTCATTCGTTCCCGGAGATCTGGAGCAGCAAAAACCCACTATCACATAGGGCTGCATATCTGGAGACACGCCCCCCTCCTTTCTTTTTTGCTCGTTTTCCCCAGATTGAGAGGGGGGAGTGAGTGAAAAAAGGGGAGCGAGTGGGCGAGCAGCGGCGGCGGCGGTGGTGGTGTGGGAGGTTGGGCGAGAAACGCCAGAGGCGCCGGGTGTTCCTGCGTCTGCCGCGTGTTGTCTGCGCCTAACTGAACCTGCCACCTCTGCAGCAGCTGGGGTACATTTCTCCCGCTGCTTTTACGGTACATTTTTCTGCGGAGTCGCCTTTTCGCGCTGGGCCTTCGTTTTGGCGCGGGGGGGCGGCTGTTTCACGACGATTACGACTTATGATTGGACGAACTGGACGATCGGGAGGGCACGATTTATTACCAAAAGTACCGGTACACCCTCCTTCCGGGGCCCCTGGGCCAGGCGGGCAAGCGCCAGGGCTGCAGTAGCCTGCTGGGGCGGCAGGACAGGCCTGGGGCGGCCCTGGAAGGGTGTGCAGACAGCGTCCTCCTCTGGCCCCTGGATACCAAGGCCCGGGCTGCGGGACGCCAACCAGGGGCCAGAGAAGGCGTGGAGGGAGCACACGCCATATTGGGATAGGGGCCGAGAGGAGGAGGAGGAGGAGACGGGCAGAGGGTAGGCACTTTTCCGTTTTGGGGCGGGCAGATACTGCTTCTTTGGGGAACGGGGGGAACGAGGCAGGCTCTCTCGAGACCGGATAGGGTAATACCTCTCTCCTTCTCCTCAGCCAGTTGGCGACGGCGGCGGGTTGCGGCATTCTCAGACATCTCTCATTGGACGAGGAGGGGCTTTTTCTCATGGGCATGGCAAGGCGGCGGACTTCTCGTTATCTTTTTTCCCGTAGTAATACCATGTTACAGGTTGTTCCGTGCGAGATCGTGACCACTCCTCCCCCCTAAGCAGTGACCCCCAGCGGTTGACATAAGCAACCCGTACAGTGTGACTCCCCCCAGGTGGCCCCGTAGCAAACCATCCTCTTCCCCGTATGTCTGCCCGTAGGCAAGCATCGCCGACGTGACACTGTGTGCGTTCCATAGGTCGAATCATGTGACGAGGTATGAAAGGTCTCATAGGCGGTCGGGCACCGTCGCAGTCGGATCTCCTGAGCGCATCACGTGATTATATCTGCTGTCTGATAGGTCGTGCGACGACAAGATGCTGGGGCTTGAAGCCGGTGAGCAAGTCGAGCAAGTGGTTGGATGGGAGGCCGTTGGGCGTTGTCGAGTCGCATTCGTCCTCGTTGACCGGTCGTTGTGAAGCGATATCGATAGTTTCTCTGCTCCGTCATCCTTAGTCAGGGGTAGCATCCACCAACCACCCCGATCCCAACTCTTGATAAATCCCAAGGCACGGCCTGCCCTCCATAAACAATACATTCGTCCATCCCACGCTTTCACCCGCTCTTCGCCACCCTCGGGATCCATGTGCCCCTCGGCGCAAGACCCCGCGTCTTCTCTAGCCACTCCCATGGGTTCTGGTTGAAGCTAGGATCATGGTAGTCCTCCCACCAGATGTGCCCTGGAGCTCCTCTCTCGGCATGTTGGCCGCCGTGATGATGCCGTTGGCCAAAGCCAACACCTGGAGCAACAGCCATGCCGGGTGGCGGCAACACTGGGAGGCCAGCACCACCCTGCGCCTGCGCCATCGTCTCGTCCACCTTGGCAGTGACGATGGCATCAATCTGCTCCTGGACCTCGCGCGCCTCGCGCTCCACAGACGACAGGCGCCGCGCCGGCCGCGACGTGTCGATGTACTGCGGCTCCGGGTCGGCAGCATCGTCGTCGTCATCATCCAAGGCAATCTCATCCGAGTTCTGCTGCCGCGCCGGCGACGACACGTCACGCGACGGCCTCGCCGGCAGACCTGCGGAGGAGGCGTGCATTGGCAGGAGAGCCGATGGCGGCGCGCGGGGCGGCCGCTCGCCGAGGGCGGTGGTGTTGGCGCCACTGGGCGCGGGGGCCGGCGCAGAGGATGATGGCGACGATGATGCGACAAAGGCGGCGTCGGCGCGCGGGTTGAACTTGCGCTTCTTGGAGGCCGGGCCGCCGAAGCTGGAGAAGCCCATTGCCGCGGCCATGGCGGAGCTGTCAAAGTCCTCGTCTTCGTCCAGGAGAATCTCGGCCATTGTGGTTATGGGGTATGCGTGTTTTGCTTTTGGTTTGATGAGATTGGATCTGTGTGTCTCCCGAGGTTTGTGGAGCCCGAGTAGAAAGAAAAGTGTGGTTCTGAAGCGAGACTACTCAGTGCCCGCTGGGTGGTGTCACAACCCTGCCGTAATCGGTGACACCTGGAGAACCCCGGGACAAAATCAAGCGAGAAAAGAAACGTGTGCAATACCGAGCAAATGGACCCTCACAACGTATCACCAGATCTGAAATGTTACAAAAAAAAGGTGAAAGAAAGCGAGGAGCAGAAAGTGACCCTTGATTAGGCGGAGGAATAGGGGTGAGGTTCACGACAACAAAAGCCAAAATGGGCCCAACGCTGGCGGGCGGTGGCAAGCGTTTAACGTCTAAATTAAGTGGGAATTCAGCCTCTCAGCCTTGTGACGAGCCGACAGTAAAGTAGGGTCTGAGACCTTCTATAGCCGCCATCCTGCGTTGGGAAAGAGCCCCCTGGCTCCTTAGTGTGAGGGCCCTGTCTCTTATTAGCAGCACCTTATTAGCACCCGTTTGTCTTGTCGGCTCTTCAACTTGGTGTGATACACAAAACTGACATGTCAACGACCGATGTGATGTGACTGCTCTTGCAGGACCTTGGGCTTTTCCTTCGCTCAGCTATTGGATCATCTTGTACCTTCTCAGCGCTGGAAGTACTCGCTACATGGAGGTATTTGTGAGGCCTGCAACGGCTCCGAGGTGATGACGAACTTGAGGTGGCTCTTCAGATCGTCGTTGCAATATCTCAAGTTAGAAAGGGAAGCATCAACGTTGACATGTACACACGACTCCTTCACAAGTTGGAAGAGTGCTTAGCAGGACTTGCAGGATGTCATGGTGTAGATCAACTAACAACAGTAGTAATTGAGTTCAGACATTATTCTATCCATGTCTAAGAAAACCATTCATCACCATTGTGTCGGCTCTTCTATCGCTTATTTTCGGCACTGATGCTCGTGACATCATACGCTGAGACACCCGGAGCTACAGGGGTCAGCTTTAAGGTTAAGCTGGGTCCGGGAGCTTCACGTTCCACAACAAAACCTCCCCCCTCCAATCGATCACCATTCGACTCGTGACTCTTCACCTGGGACAGCGCACAGAATCTGTTGACAGTCAGAACAGGATTTCGTGGCAGCTTCGGCATCTGGTTCTACTGCCCCATTCGCTCTTTTGACGAGGAGAGCAAAGGCCCAACGGTTTGGTCCTCGCGATCGCATCGCCCAACAGCTGTCTCAGAGCTGGACTCGGAGAGCTTGAATAACAACAACATCCTCTCTAATACTTCCGCAGGAACCGACCTCATCTCATAACTGTCCTCTCCAACAAGCGAATTTACTCTCGATCTCGACATTGTACCAGACTACAAGACTTACCATTTAATCAATCGGCCGTCGTCACATCAGCACAATGGGGGACCCAGCTACACAGCCGATCACCCTCCGACTACCCTCCAAATACGCCTCCTCTTCCTCCTCCACGCCCTCTACATTCACACCGCCGCCCATTGAATGGCTGCACCGCACCTGGTCCGTCACACACTCCACGCTCGAGATGTGGCGCTCCGCACGCAACGTGCGCATCACATACGCCCCGCTGCCCGCCAAGACTTCCTCCTCCTCCTCGACGCCTCCGCTCGCGCGCATCGACGACCTCGTCGAGTACGAGAAGTCCTCCGGCAAGGGCGGCGTCAAGAGCGTCGCCGGCGTGGACACGGCGGCCGGGGCGCCGGACACGGGCGCGTGGGACTGGCGCGGCAAGGGCTGGCTGTTCTTCGTGGGCAGCCACTGGGAGGTGCTGGGCTGGGGCGAGAGGCCGCTGGCGGACGGGAGCGGCGGCGGCGGCGGCGGCGGCGTCGAGAGGTGGGTGGTGACGTGGTTTGCGCCGACGGTGTTTACGAAGGAGGGCGTGGATGTGTACAGTGATCGCAAGGAGGGGGGGAGCAAGGAGTTGGAGGAGGAGGTGTTGGCTGCACTGAGGAAGACGGAGGCGAAGCCATTGGCGGAGATGTGTGAGAAGGATATGAAGGAGGTCGAGATCAAGTTGCCATGGAAGGAGAGGTGAGATATAGGCAGCCTCACTCGCCTCACCTCAGGGGGTCAGTCGCCGATCTTGGAGCCATTTGTGCTCGATAAGCGACTACGGGTTCTCGTGGCTGACAAGAAGAACATATAGTCATGATGTCGACGCCTTCAACGCGGCAAGGCGGAGTGCTGGGCAGAATTACGATATCTGAGCGGGGGTTGGAGACATTTGATTGGAGAGTGTACATACCAATGAATGCGAGACTTCTCCATGTGACTTTCAAGTGCAATCAAAAGTATCTACGCCTCAGCCTTACCTAACTTCTTCACATCTCTACTGCACGCCAGCCGAGGGTGGAACAACCCCTGCTTTGACCATCGTTTTAACAAGGCAGGTGGTGCAAGCATCGTCATTGGCATCATGGATCCCCTCTCGATCACAGCCGGCATTATCGCCATCGGTCAGGCTGTCGCGGCAACAGGCACAGTACTCAGGGCCGTTCGTTCATTTGAAAACGCGCCAGTTGAATTCCTTATGCTCCTGAACGACCTGACCTCACTCCAAGCTATTCTAGAGGATATCAGGTCGAGTTGCCACAAACTCGAGGCGGCGCCTATAAACTCAGATCTCAAAAATCTCAAAACTCTGGAGGCCCTCGAACAAGACTTGCGTCAAATTTACACCGAACTAACAAAGCTGGCCGAGAAGTTCGTCACAGGCAACAACGGACGGACTCGAAAGGGATTGCCGCGTATTTCCAAAATCAAATGGCTGAAAGAAAAAGACAACATCAAGCAGCTAAGAGAAAGGTCTCGAGACGTGCAAATGCGTCTAGCCCTTGCATACAATGTGTTCAATGTGTCACAGAAGTAGGGTCATATTATGGAATGAGAAGTCTACTCGACTAATGATTATAGCCTCATGCGCGCGGACTTTGTATTCGACGTCAAAGGCATATTCGAGGCATCTTGCTCGATTTTCCAGCAGGGTGTCACCAATAGCATTAAGCCTTTGGCGGAAAACGACGAAGCGATGAACAATAGGCAACGAACTATGCAAACAGACATTGAGATTATCAAGCAGCGAACAGATGATATTCGGCTACTGAAAGACGAGCTTGGGGAATTGAAGAAGATGCACCAAGATTTCGACGGTGGTCGCATAGAAGCTCTTGTTCAACAGCTTATTCAGCAGAAAGAGGACGAAAACGCTCAATCTGCAGCACTTACCAAAGCAAGTCAACAGAATACTCAAGGGCTCAGCCAGATGAGTCCCGTGATCACCCCTTCCGATTCGAATTCAGCCAAGGTCGAGACCCAGGCCATCGAATCTATAACAGAAAAGACAAGCCTTGCAAGCTTGGCAGACATACAGTCATCAGGAGTCGTTGTATCCGGGACTGCCCGTCAGCGTTGCCCTCCGCTTTGCAAGTGTCAATGTCATAAAATGTCTCGCGTACAAACGCCATCGTTTGCGCAATCAGTCATAGGAGCTTTATGTGTTCAGTACAATAGCATCCCCCTTTTTGGTCGCAGAACATGTGATAGCCCACGTTGCTGTTCGAAATCGAGAACTCTGATACGAGTTCAGTACCGATTTCCAGGCTGGATGGTTGCCCGTGCAGTCTGCGCTCTTTTTTCATCTCATGGTCTGACTGATTTAGGGGCTATTATATATCTCAAAGTGCCTCGAGTCATACACTTACCCGACCTCCTGTGGTCGATAGAACAGAACGATATTCCTTGGTTGAAGCGGCAGATCTTGAGTAAGAAATTATTGCCAACAGACATAACATTGAACGGAAACAGCATTTTGACGGTAAGGTCCTGCCAAAGCTGCCAATCCCCTGCGAACGTAAGCTCATGTTTAGGTGGCTTTCCATTCGATGAAATGGGATATTGTTCGGTTCCTGCTCGAAGCTGGGTTCGACTATACCTTACAGGATTGTTATGGTCGGTGAGTTGCATGCATTTCTTGTCACCATATACACGAGATATGTCGAGCACCCTAATTTGCATTTTTTTAATGAATCGCGGTCACATATACCTGGATACGTCCATCAACTAATGTGAACCCAAAGCTCCTCGATTTGCTATACCAGAATTCATGTAGCTATGCGCGGAACGCAAGAATTTTCCTCTTTCGCACAGGCGACACTCTTGAAACTACTCGACATAGACGAAGAATTTGAACCTCGCACCACAACAACCATCCATGATGTTATCCTCGGCTCAAAAGCAATGACTCTACAGCAAGCACTGGATATGGAACCATCAAGTATCGATGCGTGGGATCATATGGGCTTCACTCCATTACACTGGGCGATCACTCGAAACGATGCTGAAGCTGTTGAAAAGCTGTTGTCGTTTGGTGCTAGTGTGAACCTACCAACCTCTACAGAAATGACACCTCTACATCTTGCTTCGGCGTGCGGAAATACCAAAGTTGCAACTATCCTGTTGGAAGCAGGGGCAAAGGTTGATGCTCGAGATCTGGCTGGCAACACTCCATTACACATCAGTCTTCTACTTGGTTACGATATTGCTCGGCTCCTACTACGGTGGGGTGCGGATCCTAAAGCGCGCCAGGAGAAGGGCGACACACTTTTCCACGCATTATCTCGTAGCATAGCAAACCGAGAGGATTTCCGCAGCTCGGCAGTTGCGTTGCTGGAAGCAGGATGTGACCTAGAGGGCAGAAATGAGGCTGGCCTAACTCCGTTGACTAACGCAGTACGGTACGCTCCTGCGTGGAGCATCGAATTCATCAAGTTGGGCGCAAGAGCAGACGCCCGCGGGTTGCAAGGTGAAAATATCTTGCACCATGCCGCCACGTACTGGGATACACGACAGATTGAGAGTCTACGCGCCCTTAACTTAAGTGGGATTGACCCTGATGCTGCTGACAATAACGGGAAGGTGCCATGTTCAGCAATATGGGAAAGGTTGATCGTCAAAGAAACTAATCGCTATGCCGGGTGGAAACAGCCAACTTTGGGGACAGTCTGGTCATTCACCTGTCTAATATTGGAGATACGGGAACAAAACTGGACCAAAGACCTTTTCCTGGATTCCAAAGAGACGTTCCTTGCGGATTGCTCACACCAGAAAATGCGGAAATGGGTGCACAGACAATGGGACCAATGGCAAAAGGATAGAAGTTTGGCCAGTCGACCTTGGACAGCAGTGGACGGGTGGTGGTTTGACGAAATGCTGGACGAAGCAGATACAGAAACAGACTCTGAGTGGGAAGACTACGATGGCTCTGATGTCTCAGAAGAGGCGGACAATGAGGAGCAAATGGACACCGAGCCACTTCGGGACAACACATATGAGGACCGTGAGTTGGAAGCAAGTCTTGGTGATGTTGAAGGTGCAGACACGGACGAGTTCTTTGATGCAGAGGAGTTTCAGGGGCATTCAATCATCTTACCTCCGCAAGTTACTTAAGGTTGAGAGGAGATCATGTACATCCCCTAAATTCAAATATCACAAATAAGTCTTCAAGTAGGCATCATCAAATTTACTTGGACAGTATGACTAGCAGCTGAATCTTACTCTGATTTACCGAGAGCTATATATCAACCTAAAAAGTCTATACAGCGATATGAAGTCAAGATGACAGAAATCATACAAGAGTCGCACACATAATCTCATCTGAATTCTCAGACGGGCTAATAGCTTTCGTAAGCAATGCCTACGTTTTACATTCGATGTTTAATGGCAGAACAAGTCTATAGGAGCTGTGAAGTGGCCGTAAAGGACAATCGCAGGAGTTACGACTGTCTGCAATTACGA